TTTTTTTTTCACTTTTATTAATAAATATTACCTGTTTCTGTGTATAATTGCATTGAATGCCATACCATCTCGCCAAGAAGACGTGAAGTCTGACACTCGTACACCTGGATATTTTGATGTGGATTTCCGAGCCCATTTCAATAATGCGTCACGCGCCGATACATTTGGTTCTTCGCCGACCACGATGTCAGATATCTAAACAATAATGCAAGATAAAATAATAATATTGAAAAAATTATTTTAAGTCGAAGTGCGTATTAAATGTCCATATAAGGTTTCTTGTCTCACCAGAGGCAGTTCAAATTACCAATACGATACATTAATACTAGTATTTATCTATACAATAATGTTTTTTACGCAAAATAATAAAAATAAAACAATTATTAGGGTCAACAATAAGCCCGTCATCGAAAATAAAGTACAATTTGGTATATGTGTTTTCATGATCCAACCGAACCACCAGTCTTCTCCTTAAATGGGCAGTAAGTCCGTTCTGGAGGCCGTTTACAACACATTCTCGCCCATGTCATTTATTAGTAGGACAAATTATATTTTTTATTCTTCGATTGAAATTATATTATTCGAGTGAGTAAAAAGTGAACTATTTGAAGACGACTTGAAGTCGAAACTTCAGTCCAAAAAAGAGAGAGAGGTGATTTATGGGCGTGTGTGTAGTGTATGTGTGTGTATGTGTGTGTGTGTGTGTGTGAAGAAAGGAATCAAAAACCAGGTCACCATCATTATACGTGTTTGAAGAAAATGTACGGCATGCAAAAGAAACCATCCATGCGTGCCCTGATCATAGTTATATTATTCTTCGCTATTGCAGAGGGTATAGTGTAAGATGTACGTACAAATATATACTATATATGTTTTAGACAAACTTAGTGTAAGTCATAACAATTTTGACATAAAAAACTATATAACACCATAAAATAAAAGGTATATTTAAACGGTTTTTCATTATTCTATTTCTAAGGCAAATTATTTTGTACCTATTCGATAAAAAGGTCGAAAAGGCCGAAAACTAGATAAAATTTATGTAACATTTTTTTTAATGTACTTATTCGTGAACAATCACTCTATTCACTTAAATACATAGTTCGTTCACCTTTTTCTTATTTCCGGTACGTGCATTCAAACCAACTGCATGTGAGAAAATTTAAAACACAAATTTAAGGACTTAACTATAAATTTGTATATACACCACTAAAATAATAATTAAAGAATTCTATGTTAACTTATTCATCCAAATCAGTTTGAATAGAAAAATAACAAGTATGTTTCAATGGGTAGGCATAGAATAAATTAAAAAAATACTGTGTATTTTATCAACTATTGCTAACTAAATATTAAAAACAAATATAGTTCCCCGTGTATTAATGGTGGTGGTTCTATACAAGAAAAACAAATACAAAAAAATTAGAAGAATAAAGATATCAAATATTGAAATTGATAATACTTAAAAAAAACTTTTATTACCTACCAGAAAAAAAAAACAATACAATACAACCACAATTACACATAAAATTAAATAAAACGAAAAAATATTTTAAGTAAAATTTTAACCAAACTTATTAAGTATGTACTTTGTTTATAATTTATGATGACTATAGACTTATAATTAAATGACAGCTAAATCAGGATTTACTTCGAATATTAGTATACATGTATTTATATTTTATGTGTGTATATATATATACAAAAATCAAAAATAGATCGATAGTAAATATTTATCAACTCAATACCAAACAAATTTAACTCATTTATAAAAAAAATGGGATAAGAAAAAATATAAATAAAATAAGACATTATAAAAACGTGTCCTACTTGTATAATTACCATAATTCAGCAAACACTTAAAAGATAATAAAAAAAATGTCAAATCTTGTAAGAAATTGATATGACAAACAAAGACACTTGAAGTAATAAAACTTTATAATACGAAAGTCATTGGGAACGCAGACTAATATTTCTAGACTTGGGAAAATGCCAGAGCAGTTAATTTTGAGCTATTTTGGTATAAAATGTTTTGAAAAATACAAACAAATATGATACAATTTAATCGAAGCTACCTTTGCCTTCTTGGTTTTAATGACCTGATGTCTGGACCTCTTAGACTCTTCGTAAGGTTGATCAGCTACCATCATCTGACCACTTTTCATCATACTCTCGGTGGCAGACATTTCGACCCCACGTGTGAGTACAGTGGTTTTGCGTAAAACGCGAGTGGTAACCGAGTGCCTGCCAACTTCCGGGCGCCTATCCACTTTTTGGGATTCATGGTTAGATCCGGTTACCTCAGTAGAGAGATGTCGTTTTGTATACACGGCCTGCAGGTCACGTACATCGTCGTCACCTTCCCGGGTGCCCTGCATAAACAGCCGGCTGCCACCAGGTCGGCCGGTTGACGACGACGACGAAACCTCTTTCGAGGCTTTGGTAAACCGGTACATATTCGTTTGGTGTTAAGATTTTTTTTTTTTTTTTTATTTGTCAAACGTTTTTATTAGCATGACGATAGTAGAGAAAATTCAAAATTTGGATAACTGCAACGGACGTCAACGAACAACAACAACAACGCATGCGATACGGACGGTACACAAGAGATAACTGAACCGTGTTAAGCTGTCAGGCCGGCGCAGAAAGGGAATACGTGAATGAGTAGGAGTGCGAACGGGTACAGTAGTAAGTAGAGGGGAAATACCTGCCTGTCATAATAAAAAGCGCACCGCAAGGTTAACTGCACACACATATACACACACACACAGCTACCGTATAGGGGTGGGGGGCCCATTGAATATTCCGAGAGAAAAATATAATATTATGGTTTCTTCCGAAATCGAATTTATACTATTTCATTGAAAAAATAACAATTACCCAATACTACTAATATAGGCCCCCACAAAATCACAGCTGCAGGTACATAACGATAACAACGCCCGGCACCCACGGACGTACCCACGCGCGACCTGGCCGAAATCCTCTTATGTGTGCACCACATATCCATATAAAGAGCGCGTGACCAGGTGCGTTTGAATCCTTGGGTCGTGTCCGTCAACGGGACCTTGGCCACGCCGCGTGTGTAGGTGGCGCCTAGAGGAGGAGGAGGATGTGACGAATTACATAAATACAACACTATGTATCAAGCATGGGCGGGAATCATGGTTAAGACCGGATATTTGCAAACATTTTCATAATCAATTGTAATTTCACTGCAAATAGCTTTGTTCCCGGGAAATTATATTTTCTTCCAACCACATTGTTCCGAATTTTGAACAAAGTTAAGACTCCAGTTTCGCATGAATAACAATTTCAACTCTGTTAAGTGTAGTTTCACATATGGGTACCTATTATTGATACGATCGATCAAGTAAAATATAACAATTAATTTTTTATTAAATAATTACCACTTAATGGCATTAACACGATTATTTAATAAAAATAATTGTTTGGTTTGTTTAAATAAACTAAATTAATAAATATTTATTAATTTATATTCTATATTAGTTAACATTAATTTATTGAATCCAAAAAAATTTTAAATAGATGTTCTACGAATAAAAATTGTATGTACATACTTTCAACCGATGAAATGCTTTTACAATTATCAGCTAGAAAATAGGGAAATACAAATTCATTTAAATGGAGTATATACTATAACAAATATTTACCCAAATCAGTAAGCAAAAAGTGTACATTTTGTTTAAATATAAAACCAAATGTATACACATATACATATGGGTACACCTCTACTAATTGTTTGTAAATAAGTAACTTTTAAAGAGTTCAACTAGATTTAAATAATTGATATAACGATAAAATAATCCTAATGTAGTTAGATAAAAAAAAAAACACCTTTACTATGTATATCAAGAAGGAGCGTTGGAGGCAATTGCCATTACTGAGTGTTTTTATTGTTGCATACCCAACTCCTAGCATAAAGAATCATGCTAATCATAATAATATGACTAACGAATTAGGCCCATATCACATTTTTAACACACGATAATAATATACTTTAATAATTGTAATTTTGAAATCAAAAACAAAATTAAAATAATTTTAAAGATAAATATTTTGTTAAAACTATTTATTTCAAGTAATTAGATAATAATCCATTCGTCATTCAAGAGGTCAGTAAGCTAAGGAGATAATTTAATTTGCGTATTAATCGATAATACGAATTCAATATGAAAATTAAATTTATTCTGATTTCTGAAATTGGATTTTCCGTAAAATACAAAATTGGATATGAAAATTCTTAAACATATTGTTGAATATTTTTAACTATTAATATAATATATTATATTATATGAACTGATTACTAACGGGAAGTTTAGAATTACATATTAATCATTTATTTAAATAAAATGCATTATCTTTATGCTATGTAAAATGTTTTCAAAGTATATATTTGTTTAAATTTGTAGAAACATAAAAATTAATAACACTGAACTACTAGACCATTATTAAAAACATAATTTTCAGGTGTGTCCCGTGTCTTGTTGACACGTGACCAGCGTTGTGAAACCGTTTGTTTTGTGATATACTTTTCCAAACATAAATAATAAATACCATATACGACAATAAAACTTTACGATACTAACCTGGAAATGAAGTATAATCGTCCATATGAGGCCCAGTGTGAGTTTAGGGTTGCCATCGACAATATCTTCAGCACGAATATTTACAAGTTTGATCTAAGAATGGATTTAAAATAAAAATTAATTCTAGAATTAATTATTTTAGAAATTAATTTACTTTTTTGAAACGCAAGTACTCTAATGCCATTTGAACATTCTGAAGCATGTGAAATCTGAGTTTGCCTCTTTCTCTTGGCTGTAAATAATTTTAGAATGAATTATGTACTATTATTAGAACATTTTTAGTATTAATACGTAGTAATGACACTGATTAGTCTTAATTGATACAACTCGTACACGATTTACGGTGTAAACATAAATGTCAATACCTAATACATATTCATTTAAACTTTAAGAATAATAGGTACAATTTAATACTTTTTTTTACAAATTATATTGCACAATTTTACCCAGTAAAACAAAGACAAGGATGTGTTTCAGGCCTTGGCGCATCACTTTATACGGAATATCAAGTTCTAAGTAGCTGCTGGCCGTAATTATCATTGTCCGGTTTGCCGGGAACACCTTTCTTGGATGTAATAGCATTTTCCTTCAATTAGATTTTTACAAATATATACCATAATACAAGCCTACCTACCCCTCTATATTAGCAAACACAAAAGATAATAATTAAAAGCCATAGAATTTTCACAACCGCCCACCAAAACTATCGTGCTGAGCTATAATCAGAAATTTTCGATTACTCAAAATATCGATTATGGCTTAATGAACTACTGACACGTTATAAATCCCATCATGACACACCCTATAAACCTTGAAAGTCACTTTTCTAATAACATAATATATATTTTCCAAACCATGTAAATACATTTTTTTATTAAAAAAAATATCAACCTACACAAATAGTTACATTATGTTTTATCAAGTTGTCAATATTTTTTAATACTTATTGCTTACCAATTGATCTCCAGACAAAACTTCTAGTAATGATATTAGATTCAGGCCATCTTGCAAATCTATGAACAAATCCCCAACATGGCGGTTTGCCTGTAAAATCAAACGATAATGAGTATTACATTATATATATTAACATAATTATTTCATACATCTAGTTTTATTAAGCATATTTTTGATAATAAGTGATCGCTAAAGCTACAGATAATAATAAAACGAATGGCAATGCACATAGATAGAAACTTGACAAAGACTACAAACACACATAAATCAGGCAACGGTAAAACTATCAATTTCTACATTTCACAAATGTTAAGTACTATCAAAAGTATTACTCAAAAGAAAATACTTGGAAACATCTAACTTAAATTAACTTACACAAGAACAACTAGAGTTAGAGCACGCCTGCAAACATGTGTATGTCTGAAACATACAATTTAATAATTCACCAATAAAATGAAATGCAAGAAAAATGTACAAAAATCTCTTTAGCCATATAAAATTAAATCGTGAGTCATTATTGATTTTTTTTTTCAAATAATCCTACCTTCGAGTATTTCCAATGCTGCTTTCACATATTCAAAAAAAATTAAAAATTAAACACAAACGAACTAATGAAACAAGTGTAAAATATTATCCACTAAATAAGTAAATATATAATTAACTTTTGTTTATAAAAAGCAAACAATTTTATCATTGGATAGTTAAGTTTAACTAAAAATAACTACATAATTCTCAACTAATCAGAAAATAAAATATACCTCAGTTTAAAATTTTTCAATTATTTGTAAGAGATAATTTAAACCTATTTTCGATAACGGAAATAATATATACCCACCATATGCCAATCCTAAAAACATATTTTTGCCAAACCAAAATATATTATCCAATATGAATAGTATAATATTTAAATGTTTCCGTTTTGTGTTGGCGGATATCTACATCATTATATAGTACGAAAAATAAGTTGGCGTTGATATTTTTTAGGTACTGTGTTATTTATACCTTGACCCAAAAATTATTTAAAAAAAATGTAAATTAAAACTAATACTAATACAATTAAACATTCAATATGACCAAAAATATATACCATAATAAACTATAGACAATAATGAATACATTTTTTTAGCGTAAAATTAATACTCTCGATAAATATGATATTAACCATTATTTTTTTATCACTGAATATTTTTTTTATAAATTTCAAAATATTATTTAATGTAAATCAATATAAATAATAATTTTCGATATTCGGAATACCTTCACACCATCACAATCATGATTAATGTGAACATATATGTTTTAAATTGGTCCCATTGATTTGATTTTTATTTAATATTGAGTTAAGAAAAATTTTGTGATTAATTTTTATTAGTTATATTGACATACAAGTGTACGAGTAAAACAAAATTATTTTGGTTTCAATCTAGTTATTATATATTATAAGATAATCCAAATTCGACATTGAAACATAGATGACTTTATTAATTTTAGTTGTTTACAAAACATATTTTAAAAATATTGAGCATTCCGTGTTGTGTATATCAATGTACTGTATTAGTTAACAATTACTTTAAGATTTTCAAACGACTAGACCCAATAAGGCATATTAATAATGGGTATATGACTAATAAAAATAGTTTTACATCTACGTGTGTGTTCGCATTGGTCTGTTTACAGATAAGGAGACTTTTTTGTAACAAATGATTATGAAATGTTAAACTGTACAAAATTGAGTACACTAAGTATACTACTAACATAATATTCAATACTCAACTGATGTTACCTGATCATTAATATACTAATTGAAACATTTTGAAGACCAAGAATAAGAATAATAACTAATTACCAATTGTTAATTTGAAATCAATATAAACTTTATTCGATTTTAAAAATACAAAAATTTATTTTGGAAATTAAAATAAGAATTTTTATTTAAGATCATTTAATATATCAACTTACCTTTTTTAAATGCTTGTTCACCCATTTCGTAAACGTTTTCTTTTGTATGGCGTCTCTTTCATCTGCAAAAAAAAAAAAACTTTTAGAATGAAGTGCATATTTTTCACCGGCTAAAAACATTTTATCTATATAACTTCAACAGGCCAAGCATTTATTATTCATACGTCATCAGTATTTAATATGTATGTGTAACCTAGTCTACACGTCTACACATAACTTTAAAAAAAAAATTGAACATGAACCAAATATAATTCAAATACATTTACATAATTTTAAAACGTATAGTTTAACAATTAACAACATTTAAATCTGTGCCCCAATAACGATGTTCATTAGATATGCAATACCGTGTAATTATTGTATCTGGGAGCGTTCCGGCTACACGTAATCAGATTTACAAGAATTTCTTTATCGCTCATGCATTTCGCTTTGACTTTTTCTTCGACCTATTTGAAACAACAATGAACATCCAAACAGTTTCTATTACGCAATAGTAAAATTAAAATACCAAATATTTACTTATTGTTTTTATATTATTTATATTAGTATATCATAAATTATTATAATGTCAATGCGAAAATCGTATTTCTATGATTATAAACATGGCTAAATTAATAATTATTTTTCCGATCTGTGTAATTGACGTCAGTATGAGTATAATAAAGAACATACGAATATACATATATAGATAATTATACATATAGATCATAATTTGTGTTCATACACATACACATATTTGTAAGTCATATTACAAATGGTAAAATCGATCACAATTCATATAGCCAATTTTGTTTGAAAAGTAATAAAATATGATGTATTTTTTAATATTCCTATCAAGAAAAAAATGTTGTGACCAAAATGTTAATAATTTTACATAAATTATTAACATTTACAGTTTGTGAAGTTCACTTTTTAGTACTAAAATCATAATAATTTGGCACTGTTATTATCTTTTACTAGTAATTTTGTACAAACGTGACGTGACAACCTTAAAACATTGTTTATACAAACAGTTAGGATATGAATTACTAATAATTATTTTGTGATAAAAGTTCACTATTAAGTGATTATATTTAAACTTTCAAGGTTTACATTATTCAAGTTTAAGTATATATCAATAAAAAAAATAATAGCTAATAGGTGGTACACAGTAGGTTTATTTTAATTATTACAAAAGTTAAACTATTTATTATGTTTATTTTTCAGATTTATTTATAGCACCAAAAATAATAACTATTTAACTATGACTATACAATAACTTTTATTATTTTAAAGAACTAAAAGAAATGTGGAAATTTAATCCTTAATTTACGATACATTTAAAATTAAAAAAAATGAGGTACTTAAATAAGTATTATAAAATCTGCGCGTAATTTAAATAAAAAAAGAACTCTTGATAAGAACATAAAATTTAATTAAAAATAGAGATACATTTTAACAGTTTTATTTCAATATTTATAGAATTTTTACGGTTAAAATACTATTATTTTTAAATATCTAAATAAAAATGTACAATGGATGCCTAAGTAACATTTTAATGTGATTAAACTGTTATGGAACTATGCTTTAAACGTGTTTCCAAATCAGTCACATATATTATTAGTAAGTATAATGTATCAAACGTTCTTGAAAGGGCAGTAAAACAAGTGAACCTACGCAAAAAGTATGCCGAACAATACGTGGGTACTTATATACGTATACCTTATCATCTACAAATAAAAATAAATACCGTAATTTTTAAAGTTAAACTCCGAACACCAAACAGTCAAGAATCTATAACTTAAAAATGATAATACAATTTATCTACAACTAAGAAATAAAAAAATGTACATTTACATTTAAATTATAGGTATTTAAGTATTTATTTAAAAATAATTGCAACCGTTTAAGTTGATCCCTCAATGGTAATTTCATTTATAAATACTTAGTACAAATACTTCTCATCACGTTTTCAAACACTTATATTACAACAGTTTAGCTAACTGACCTACAGAAAAAATATTTTAATATTTTAATCGACAACATCTCGAGAATATTATTATAATAGACTTTGAGTGAATGGCATTGAAAATAATTCACGTGTGTTTACTCAGACGAATAAAGATAAAAGTAGGCATTACTAAAAAAAAATTGTTGGTCCGTCATGACAATATAATAACACGAAACATTGCTGTCGCGTAATGCATACGTAAAAAAGCACAGAGGTCGGTGGGATACATCGGGACGTTTCCCGAGCAGATTTTGACGCATTTAACGTTTACGATTTTCCATAGACAAAATTTCACCTCGACGAAAAACAAAAGAATTGAAAAAAAATAACGACGACGAAACCTGAGGTCGGATCTCGATCATTGGGACGCTCAGCTAAAACCCTCTATGAACAGATTTATCATCGTCCATATACTCATCGAGCAGTTTAAACATATTTTCTAACCGTCGCGAAATTTGAGGATTCATTTAGTATTTCACGTACCTGCAATATGGATACATGTACCGCGAATAATTAGAGCCCGGATTTATATGCATTTGCCTGTTTGTACTAAGTGTATGCACGTCTATGGAGGTTTAAAATATCCACGATTCATATCACACCGAATTTAAACATCAAATTTTACATTGCACATTTTGCATATTTCGAGGGTTATTGCATATTTGTTCATAAATGCATATAACATGTATATTTAATGGGTTTTTAATAAATTAACTATTTTAATTTACAGTAAATTTTGTAATCTCCTCGAATAGAACACGAATAGACATGGTAGATATTAAAAATATTATTTTAAAAGATTAGTATTTTTTTTTTAAGTTTTATATTAGTTTTTTGAGAGTAGTTAACTTCGAATGATCTAAAATATTTATTTCTTATCTGTATTCTCATTTTTAAGTTTTCTAAAAGTTTTAGATTGATTTAAATGATTTGAAATATAAAGCAGTGGATATTATCATATTTTTTTTTTTTTTTTTAAATATAATATAAAATATTTAGAATTTAATTGGTTATAAAAGTGTAGCTTTAAAATAAAAAAACACATTTTATAAAGTGCAACATAATGCATATAATTGCATATTTAGCCACTTTTTCTTTGCAAATTAGCATCATATTTGACACTTCTTAAATGCACATAAATCCGAGCTCCAATTATAATGAAAACGAATAAAAGCAAAGATTCATAGAGGTACACGCAAAGACCGACGACGATGGCTCCCGGGGGAAGGAGGGAACTGGTCTTTCCACGCATTCATAACACGTTACCCGTAGTATAATGTGTATTATACATTTTTATTGTTACGAACGTTACGCCGTCGGTCACGTCACAGTCACCTCCAGCAGCTGTTCACCGCCGAACGTATTCAAGACGACGGCGCGCTATCGGCACACGCGCGGCTTCTGAACGTACGTAATCCGTACTCTAGTAAGCACAATAAATGTATACCAAAACACATAACACGTCGAGAGGTTGACGTAACCGTTTACCTGGTATTCTAAGCTGCCGCCCGTCACCGATGATTCAATGCTTAATAACGAACTCGGTTAACACGCGTAGAGTTTCATCTATATATATATATATATATATATATATGTAAATGAAAAATAACATAAAAAATAAACAGTAAAAATAATAATAACACGATATATTAACGCGTACACGTGTACCGTAGGTCTATTTCTCTAGGTCAATGTTTTCAATGCTACACTAGTCGATTGAATGAGTTGTGCGGATCAATTAAACTCGTGGGCCGGAAACTTGACAAACGTACGAGTATTATGAGTGTTAAGACGTGTCATACTATAAAGTTGATTTATGTATATATACTTTTTTTAAACTTTTTTTTTGATAAGTTGGTAGAAAACAGTATTATAAAATACTAGATTATTGAAATTTAAAAACACAAGACAGTAACAATTAATCTTTTACATACTTTCAGTGTTATGATTTTAAATGTTCAATGATGGATTTTAAAGAAATATATGATTTTTTTAGTGTAAAACACAAATTTGATATAACTTGGGGAATTATTAAACATACTTAGAAAACCCACGATGTACACAATTATTAATTAGTTATTTGTTTATTTTAATATATTTATATTTATTAGTTTAGAAAATTGAAACGCTATTAAAATGGTATAAAAAAAAAACAATGATATAATACTGTAGTAAAAGTAGAGGATATTTATATAGTATATGAGTAATTTAAAATATACTTTCTTCTTCTCTAGCTTTTATAGCCTATTCGGGACCTTCACCGTTTCTATTACTTCACTTCATATTATATATTCCATTATATTCAATCTCTTCCAGTTCGGTTTTTTGCACCCATTTTTCAAGGTCTATCTTCGTACCCATTCATCTCGAACTAAGCCTCTAGGTCTTTTTCATTGATTTTCATTGATTTTCAAATAACTAATATTTACTTTTAAATTTTAAAATAATTCAAATAAAGACTTAAAAGTGATAATATAGAAAACATGACTATATTACGTTGAATTTTATAGTTTAACATTTTGATGGCTGCCACTGGCAATAATTGAGATAATTTTTATAAGTAATAACTATTTATATAGCTAATAGCTATATCTACATTATTTGATTTAGCTTAAAGTTAATAAACAAATTAACTTATTTACTTATTAGACACTTATTGAGATGCAAATACACAAATTATGCTTAAATTGGTTCAAAATAGAAAATAACTTTAATTCACTAAGATCAACTTAATCAACCAATTTAGCGGATATAACGTAAAGTCTTGACAATTTTAAATCTTACCTAATGACTGCAATAATAGACTGATATAAGGTAAATTATAGGTTAATACGTGTAAAAAGAAAATTAGTTATAATTACAAACTATGTCAATTCTATAAAACGCTCATTATGCACCAATGCTACCAACCACAAAATTTCATTAAAATATTTCGAAACTATATGTCATTAACTATGTAACCAATATCGTTTAATAGAAATTCGTTAAAATATCGGATTTCGTCAAAATGTAACTTTGTAATCATTATAAAACATTTAAGAGACTTTCCAGAAAATGTCTTCAAATTAAAAATATTATGAATTTTTAACAATATTAAACGGTCAAAAGCCCATACAATTTTTTTTTTTTAAGATCTCTGAAAAAGCTAAAATATGAAAAATTCAATTTTTTATCGATGTCTCTAAAAAATCTTTTGAAAATTAAACTATCCATAGTTAACGGTTAAAAAAGTATTTAGTAAAAATGTCCTTACATTTATTTTTTTAATTACGATGAAAACAAAAATTCAATTTTGACAAAAACCAATAGGCCATAAATGTTGGTGTCTTTTTTTATAATTTTTCTTTAATTTTTTACATTTATTTAGAAAACAGAAAGGAAATTTGTAGAATGGGCCATTCAAAGTATCAACTAGATAACATTCTCTAAAAGAAATTGTTTTGGAAAGTGATGATCAGAGTTATCTTTCTAGTCAAAATCTTACAAAAAAAAAAATAAATACATCATAGTAAGACCAATATATTTCTTGTTTCACTCAGATCTAAAATATGAAAACAACTCTGTAAATAAATAAATTTTAATTGTTAAGAATATTTAAATTACGTATCTACTAAAATTATTAAATTTATTATGATTATTTCAAAAAACAAAACAAATACTAATCATTGATTAAATATTCATAATGAATAAAATATAAGAAAATATGAACGTTAAACTAATGATATAATACATGTACATTCCTCCGTGTTTTTTAATGTTTACATTATATGTTTTTTAATAATTTTAATATTTTTACATAATCTTTTAATATAACTATAATGGAAAAATTGACCTTAGACATAAATAATGAGTTTGCGAGTTATAATACCCTAGAATACGGGTAGGTGTATACTGTTTACATAATTTACAAAAAATACAATAAAATTCAAGTAAAAAATGTGACCCTAACTGATTACTATTATTTCACGACAATCGTGTATGGTTTATTCATCTATCCATAAACTCAATAAACAATATCATGTTTCCTGTCTTTGGCGCCATGAACACATACAATGAGCATTCGATTGTTTCTAGTCTAAAAATACACAGAAAATGGTAGGTATATAAAGTAACCGATATCAGCGACACGCCCATATATAATACTTAATAGGGATAGTTCCACTAACTTGACCGGTATTACGCACTAAACGAAAGTTATATTAAAATGGATACGAAATTTTCCCACAGTATAAAAAAAATATACATATTTAGGTATCATAATTCATAATACACGGCAATATGGCATATTATAGCAAATAAACTAAATTAATTTTTAATCAAGTAAAAATGCGAATATACCCGATTATTCGTGATATTTTTATATTTCTAAGGATAAAACTATAATACAACATAACAATTTTGTTTAATTTCTTTTTAGTACGCTATTAAAATGTTACTGATACTATCTAACATATTAAACAGCTAGTATACGACCAATTAAAATTTAATTATGAAATGCATTGTGATAAATTATACCTAAAAATATGTGTACTTATTATGGAAGATATAAAAACTAAAATATAAATTACATGAGAACATCGATTTAAAAATTAATTTCAATAATTAAATTATATTATACAAAATACAATTGGTTTTGTTTTTTAAATCTGACCTAAGCATATAATAATATTATTATATTATATTATATTTTATAATATATTTTTAGCAATATAATTATTATCTCCCGCTTCTTCTAACATACTAGTAAGACATCTTTACTTAAAAATAAATCAAATAAATTTGAATATGTTTTATCATTTAATACATTTAATATTCATGATATTTCTTATACTCATTTTCAATATGCATTTTTTTTTATTTCATAAGAAAAAATAATTTATGATAACCTCTTGCCAGATCGATTGTGTCATTGTTTATTTGTAAACTGTACTAATAGACACAACAAAACCTATTAAATCATCTTAAGAAACCCAGCAAAAAAAAGTTACATTAATAATAACAATTGTAATAGATATTAAATAATAAATATGATATAAAAATAAAATAGTTATGAAATAAAAGATAATTAATACGAATTATAGATATATTATCAGAAAATAAAGTTTTGAATAAATCTAATGAACAATGAACAATGCAAGAAACAGGTATCACGTTTTTGTTTCCAGTACAATTTAGAGATAAATGGATAATATAATTCATAACTATTAAAATTTAATTCAATTATACTAAATTATAAAATCAACAATCAACGAGTAAACAAACGATATTTAAAAAAAATATATCAGTGATATTTTTAAAATAAAATATAATAAAATAAAATAACCTAAATTAAGAATGACATGCCACATTACAAGACTGAACAAAAACATACTAACTAGAGTTCTGTGTACTTTGCATATTTATACATTTGTAACAAATACTAACAGTTTGCAAAAAAGTTAAAATAAACAATATACCTGTATGCAAATAAAATAAAATTACAGCTTTACTGTAATAAATTTAAATATCATTCATACAAAAGTTAAAATATTTATTATTATTATTTCTGTAAAAATAACGAAGAAAATAATATTAAATTGATTTGGTGGATGATTTTAAAGAGAAATAAGACTAATTCTATCTAAAAATTAAACCATTATATAAAAACTAAATACATAAAAAACATTCATAATTTCAGTCTCGTAGTATAAACGTACGAATTTCAGAAATTAATAAAATTAATATTCTCAATTTTTTTGATAAAAAAAAAAAAATCGTTCATCCTTAAATTTTGTATGAGTTTGTATGGGTTTTTATGTGTAGCAACAATATATTAAAATACGAAAAAAATGGTTAATTATCTACTCAGAGTACATAAACCTTATTAATATATGATTTTATGAATCAAAATAATTAATGTATTAATTTAATATTTTCCAAAAAATAGCTATTGGTAAGGTTTACTAAATACATAATTGGATAACAATAAAAATAAATGATCATGATCAAGTAAGTGTGGGCATATAACAGGTATTTCCCCTCTTAGTTATTGTTTTGCACTAAATTGATAATTAGGCTATACGATGATGACCGGTCTTCAATGAGTAGATTTTTTGTTATTATTATTTTGACCTATACCTTTTTTGGTATTGCATTAGTGTACTACACTGATGGCAAAAACCACTGACCCTGCCCACTGTATTCGCCTACTCTCAATCCACACCCCGGGCTTTGTCAATCCGGATTACATAAATAAAAAGTGCAAGGAAAATTGTATTTTCCCTTAAGGATAAAATATTTACTACATCTCATTATAGAACAATGACTATTATATGACTACCATACATATTGTCATTTGTCAGAAAGTTCTATAGAAAATTATAATGTGACGCAATTTTCTCAATGCACAATAATTATTAACCAACTACAAAGACAAACATTTCCAATCGTAATGTAAACCAACATATATCATGGTTTTTATAACTAAAACATAATTTTATTTTGAAATACTATTATTATTATACTGGGATTTAAAGCGCAATAGGTTGTTCGATACACACAACATTCACCTCTTAATCGACATATACAAATTAAAAATAAATACTACTTAAATAAAAATACTTGTAGTACATAAAATACTGCAGACCATATAACAACTAGTAATAGCACTTTGTATGTATAAAATAATTACATTTTAGACGTGAACGGTTTCAATAAACACTCTATACATTTTAAATAATATAAAATATATCTTTTTCCCTTTATTTAAGTAAGTAGATTGAATCAGACATTCCATACCGGTTTAATAGTGTGAACAACATTAATCGATTACGTTAGGTGTTTATTTTTAATATGTACTAATATCGAAGTCAAAAGGAACACAGTAAAATCGTTGATTACATATTTAATTTTCCTGATAATTGTTTATAAATAAGTATAATTTTATTAACATTTGCGTTTGGCTAAGAGAAACATTGCCGATCCGTCGAGTAATATAGTAATTGGTAGACGAAACCCGTGCAAAAATGTCTAATAATAATAATAATAATAATACAATAAGAACTTGAGCGAATAATTTATATTTAACAACACGGGTACATAAAATTGGTAGTACAAGGCCTACGATCACGGGGTAAAAAGAAAAAAAAACCGTGGTACGTCACGTGAAAAATAGTATACGAAAACGGTCGTACAACAAGTGAAGTCGAGACAATCGGAATTTTTTACTACGATTCTACGTGGCAAAGCGAAATTGTGTATTGAACGACGGGGAGCCGTGCACGCGGTCGCCCCGTAGCCAGTGGCCACGTCCGAGCCCGTACAGACGTCGTCGTCGTCGTCGTCGTCCAAGAACGGGGGACGCGTATAGGACACGGACGACGTAAACCGGGGGCGGACTGAGTACCGAGGCGCCCTGAGGGGAGATCAACTGAACCTATTATTATTAAATTTTAATTAAATTGTGCTCAGTTCATCCTAATTCGGATATTCCAATAGTAAACGATCGGTGTTTTACCGCTATATTTCAAATATTACATTTTGTACACGGGTAATCAATACGACATTAACTAGGGCGATCGGCCGTTCACCTCGCTGACCAGTCCACCCCTAATGTAACCGGGCCGCGAACGTTTGAAATGCCATCGCACCGGGTGGACAGGCCGCCGGGTACTCCTGACCGGTCGGTGTTTCGCACAACAGATCTTGGACGACGCTGGTTGCCGCGCTACGGAGAAATGCGTATCGCGCGCGCACGTCGGCGGTTTCTACACAGAGCCGCGACCGCCGGCGTTCACGGTTGACCTCGTTCGCGCGACGACGAATGAGCACCGGACGGACGAGTGGGAACGAAACGCGGCGCGATTAAATGAGCGTGACAAACCTTTGAACTTGCACAGGTTCTCCTCGTAGCCGCGTTTCGACTTGCGGAACGTCGCCTCGTCACCGTTGGCCGTCGGCTGCTCGTCCGGGTCGAACCCCAGACGGTCCTTGTAGTACGACATCCCTTAAGCGGACGCCGCCGCCGTGGACGCAGGAGGAGAACGGACGGAACGCTGCGATTGACGTGTGATGAGCAGCGGCGGTGTTAGTTATTTTTATGTTTATAAACGTTTGTGCTTTTCGCTTTCTTTGGCCGTCGATCGCTACCACCGCGGGCGGTTTACGTCCTTCGAAAACACAAAACACAAACAATTTGAACACGCGCGCGGTGACAATCCTTAAGTGCCTGTGCGTGGGTACACGCGCACACGACGATCGACGAAGCGTTCACGGGATAACAGATAAATAGATAGTAACAATTATTATTGCGATTCGGTTCGCGCGTATTGTTCCGACCGGTAGACGAACGAGATTTCTTGCGCGCGCGCGCGCGTAACAATGCCGCCGCGCAGTACCGGCGATTGTAGTACGCGCGTACAGAGAGTTAGAGCAGCGCCAACACACTCGCCCGCGACGATGACGTTGCCCCCGCTGAAGCTGACCCGCGCGAGCAGTACACGTACGCAAACAAACGCGCGCGCGAACACCTGAAACAATATTATCAGGACGACGAGCCACCGGCCACTGGTCACATACGCGGGCTGCGCGCACGTATACCGCACACGCACACGCACACATGCGTTCGCGACACGTCGCGCGAGCAACACACACGCACCGCTGCGGCTGCGATGTGTCGCGCGTACGGTGTCGCGAGCGCGTGGGGCGGCGGCGGGGATGTCGCCCCCCTCCCCCGCCGACGATCGGAACGGGGCACGCCGTGTTCGCGGGCGGTTCGCGTGGTGCGCGGGTGCCCGACCGGCGGTGCCGCGTGCCCCAAATGGAATTCGCGCTCGCCGCCGCGGTACCGCGGGGACGACCCCGTCGGTGGGCGACAACGGTCCGTGGGCCGCGGGATTGGCGTCCGCCGTCGCGCGCCTCGCCTTACATGGAACTGCATTGCACCGCGGCCCGACGACCGATGGGTTTCCATAACAGCGCTCGGCCGGTTATCGGCGACGTGAAAAAAAGAAAGAAAAAAACGTAATACACGTTTGTTCGGCGCACGTGTATAATAAACGAGTTCCCGGGGAGGGGTAGTCGACGGAATAAGGATAGCGACGCACGTGGGCGGAGAGACGAGACCGTACGGCGGTAACGTATAAGTAGCGTTTTAGCGCGTTTCACCCGTACGACAGAGATACCTACTCGTTTCCGACCGAACCCTACAGGCACGGGCTGAAGCTTTAGCGCGCGCGTCAACAACATTCACCCGTGAACCCGACGGTTATAACCGATACATATTATAAATCGCATGCGTATACGTGAACATCATACGCTCACGCGTAATAAACGAACGCGCGCGCGGTACCACATACCCCGTCGTGTTCGTGGGTTTTTGCGGAAATTAAAAAAAAAAAATAAATAAAGACTCGTTCCGCGCCTCGGGTTAAGACGAATCGTAAATCGTAATTGAAACTCATTATCCGGATTAATTACTGTTTACGCGATTCGAAAATTGAAATCGTATTATTATTATAATTTATAGAGCTTGAAAATATATATTTTAATTAAACATTGCGTATTACGCAGATATTGACAGTTTATAAGTTAAGCGAGTTTATGTTGAGTACGAGTTTTCAACTTTTCGTTTAATAAATGACCTTTGTTGTAATAATTTTATCTGCGTAAACGGAAAACATCTGAGAAAAACCAATCAACAACTTAAATTATAAGTTGCTGAACATTTTTACAAATATTGTTACAAAATCGAAATAACAGGTTAAGAAAATCTATATTTTAATTTATCGAAACAATGGTTTTTCTCGTAACAGGAAAATATATTAAATAAAACTTTCCCACAATTCATGATTGATGGTTATACAAGAAATGTATACATAACATCAACTTATTTGGAACCGTGTTAAACTAACAGTAAACGATTTTCTAAAGGCCAAACTGTTATTAAAGGTCACAACTACAAACAATACACGTACATAAATGAGTGATTTCAAATACATGAGTTATTGTAAACTCTTTATTTAACAGCATTATCTACCGATACTATTTATTATAAAATAAAACAACCGTCTATTGTTCACTTGATTTAAAAAAAAATAAATGAAACTAAAATAACAGTTGTATATATTATTTTTAATTACTTTACATTTTTGTTTTTGTAAATAATTAAACATTTTATTGTATATATGTAAGTCGTCGAGCGTTAAAATCTTTCAACGTTGACAAGCGACAACCAGCACAGATATTTAAATTCATTTTATGTAAAACGAAATTAATTTTTTTTTATTCTGAATAAACCTTTTAATTTATAATAGTTATATTTAATTATTTCTATTGTACTATAATGTATTTTTGTGATATAATTATAATGTACATTATATACATTATATGTAAAATATATTATTTCATAACTATACATATGTTGAAAATCCGTATAATTATAAACTCGATGAACATTTTTAATGCAATAATATACCTTGTTTTCTAATCTTATTAAGTATAAAAATACATTTTCTTAAAATTATTTAATTAAATTTAAAAAAATTAATTGATTTTATTTTACATTTATCATTTTAATATTAATTTTTACATTGAACTTTCCTAATGAGTCAAGTAAAATATAATTGATAACTTTTGTCGGCTATATAATTGATTATAAAATAATTAACAGTGTATATTATATTCTATAATCAACGATTATAATAGGTCTAAGGTATATCTACATCCATATCTAATCTTTTTTAAATCATCTATTCTTATAACTGCAGTTATTTGGATTATTTTACGACTTAAGATAAATACAAATATTTTAACTTTTAATGAATAGCCTTAGCTTAAATTCGTACATTTTACAAAATAATTAACTGAAAAGTGTAAAAGTAAGATGAAACTTAAGTTTAACATTATGCTGATAATTTTTAAGAAAATCGAGGTGATATAGATTATCTATTTATCTATCTATATATTTAGCAAACAATGATAATCAATATGTGGTACAAATAATATATAAAAGAAATTAAGAATAATGACAAAATAAGTATACCAAGAAATATTTACCTATTTCTTAAAATAACTTGACAAGTTCATAAATCGTAAATGTCTACCTTTAAAATTAAGAAATAATACTTAAATAGCAGATTGAAAAGTAAATACACATTATTACCAACATGAATAACTTTAAAATCATCTACTTTTTTTTTTTTTGCCTTTGTTAAAAATATTACCACAAAAAATGATCTCCTTATTCTAACAAAAACTCATAGATTTCATTTAAAAGAATCTAAAAACTAGCATTTTATTAAAATTAACAAATTTGCATGATTGGTTTAAAATATGTAATTATAAAAAAAAAACACCCTAATCACAAAATTAATTTTCATAGGATAATATTAGGTACTTTATTAGTTAATACCATAATTAAACTGTCATCTTTAAAGCTTAACACAGACTGAACGCAAATTACTGAATAATGTAAAGTAGTATTAATATTACTATTAAAGATTACATAGTTTTTGTATTCCGAGTTTCATTGGATAAAAATTGACTTTTATAAGGATTTTTATAAAATAAATAAAATATCGAGGACTAATGATTGAATAATGTTAACTATCGCAGTGATTAAATCCACGAGTACGTTTTATTAAACAAGATCAGGAATAAAATGACTACGCACTTTTAACTGCACAATTCTAAGAATATTAATCACACTTATGTTTTTATAAGTACGAACAATATATTATTTTAAAATGTACTAATTAAAAATCCCGCTTTATATGAATTAACTCGAGTATTTATTGTCGTCAGCTAACAGTAATCAAATAGCAATATGTCATTAAGTCACTTACTAGACCTAGCTGTCCTCGATCCAATGACCATTAAAATGGATATAAAACGAAACATTGTCAAGGTTTTAATACAATTCGAATACTCCTAATTTTTTTTTATTTAATTCAGAGACAGACTTCATCAAAATTCGTGAATCACAAAATATGTCTTTTATAAAACAAGGCCAAATACAAGATTATAACCTTCTTTCACAAAGGATACTTATCTCATCAAGTTTTTTAAATTTTTGTAATACATATATATTACCATTATATTATCATACATTATTAAAAATTGAAACTTGTTTAATAATAATTACCTATTTATCATGTAATTTTTTTTTATTTATTGGTTCTTATATTTTTCAGTAATAAATTTAATAAATTAAAGATTTCATCACATAATTTGTTGATAAACGAGTATGCGTACAAACAAAATAAATCTAATAACAAGATAACTTCTACAGGACACAAGTCCTAAAATAAATTTAAATTAAAACTGTAAATAATATTTTAAATGTTATGAACTTAAATTAACAGCTTACATTGCATATGAATTCAGTTCATCTTGCAATATATATAGATACGTCAAATATAAATATACATACAAGGAGTTAAAACTCATAAATACCTAATACAACAAAATTAGTTAGAATTATGAACTATAGATAGAACCAGCCATTACCAATACGTAAACAATAAAGGTCGACGAACTTGAAATTAATATTTTAATAACGTCACCGAATACAATAGTAAAATATTCACTTAAATTGCTATGAATTATAAATCAACCAAAAAATATTTTAATGTTATGTATCGCATCGAGTATTACGTGAAAATCTATACGGCAGTTAACATTACAACAACGTAGTCCATCCCTGTACATCAACATTAAGCGGCATCGTTACTCGGCGAAAACGTTTAGAAGACATGTCCACTAAAATTTTGACGCGACAAAAATTAATCACAACCGCATTGGGATTTTAAAAAAATTCGATGGGCATAAATTATGATACATAATATCAAACAGGTTAGGTTAGGTTAACAGCTCTTTCACTGTTGTATTTTTTATTTTTTTTATTTTTTTTTGCGATTGCGTGGCATCACATATCTCACGAAATTTGACGAAATCGTACAAAAATATGCTTACGTCGTTGTTTTTAATATCTACCGCTTAGCCCGTTGAACAGCACAAGAAATATTAAATATCATTTATCACACACAGTGTAAGTATCGTTTAACTATTTCTTAGATTTTTTTTTTTTTTCATTTTTTCACATCTAATAAATTGCGACTTCCCACAACACACACACGTACACGAAATATACGACGCGATCGTGGGAAAACGATATGCCGGCGAATAATTCTCGGCGGGGGTGGCAACGATAAACGCGCATATTATACCGCGCCGGTATGATATATTACACGTTATACCGTGCAGTTACAAAAAACCACGCCGCCATCAAACGCGATGATTCACGGTGGCGACTCTTCGGCTGCCCGGTAGGGGCACACCCTGCGCGTTTGCTGTACGTATTCGACGGCCGTACGGTATATATATATATATATATATAGGCCAGAGGTCGGCAACCCGCACTCCAATTCAGGACGCATCACGATGTCAACATTTTACAATATTTTTCCTTCGAACACAAAAGTCGTACGTACGACGACCAAAAAACGAACCGACGACGCCCCCCCCCCCCGTTTGGACATCGGTACTACGGTTTTGTAGAACTTGTGTTTTTTTTTTTTTAAAAAACGTTGTCACGGGTCACCGACCCCTGATGTAGAGGGCGAGGGGCGGCACGAAAACGCTGGCGACACGTCGATTCAATATCATTGCGCAGGGAACACCCGACTGCCCGCGCGGCGACGGACGCACGTGGCCGCCAACGAAAACAATCGTCGGCCGCGTCTCGCAGCGTTTCTCGTGCAGCGTCGCCGAGCGCGAGCGGCGCTACGCGGGGTCCAGGGGGAACACGAGTACGGGTATCGTGCGCACGCGGTGCCTCGGAAATCGGAATTCGCACGCACGCACACCGCGGACGGGTATCGGTTTCTTTGCGGCGCTCCTCCGGCCCGGGAGACGTGACTTTGAAAAATGTGCACTTATTCCTAGCCGCCGCGGCGGTACACGGATAATAATAATAATAATACCAAGAACCGGTGCGCGCGCGCAGATCTCGCTCCGGGCGGTACCGGGTTCATTATAATGTATCGTCACCGCCGCCGTGCACGTACGGTGCACGCGCGCCTTAACTATGCGATACGTGCTAGTTGTCTGCCGCGCGCCGCTCGCGCGTTTTTCTCCCGCGAGTATTGCATGCACCGGATAGGCAAACTATTGTCGGCCGCGAAAAATCGCAACCGTCTTCTCGCCGCGGAATTCGCCCGCCGGCTGCATAAATCGACGGACGGGCGCGCGTGGTCGCGTACGAAATCGCGCGACGTTTCGCGGCCACGGACGACGCGCACCAGAAACGCTGACGCGCGGTGTTTTTGGCGGCCGCAAAAGCCTGCCCCGGAGCGGAAAACCTGTTTCGGCGCGACGCCGATACTACGCCAACACGTTCGTGCGCGTGTGCCCGTCTCAACCGGGTCGTCGGGAAATAAACAGAACAACGAACCGGGGCTTATTTGTTTTCACGCGTAAACTATCGCCCCGGTGATCGGGAGGTGACCGTTAACGCGCGAGGCTTCCCCTCCGCCCCCGAAAACGGTTCGCGTCGCCTAGCCGGCCAACCGATGGCTTTAAACTTTATCGCGGTGGGGGCTCGTCGCGGCAAATGAACAGTAACGATATCCATTGTTTTTCTCAGAGACCGCGGTCGTAAAAATTCCCTACGTACCGACATCGGTAGCCCCCCACCCCCGACCCCTGAATACGTTTCGGAATGGTATTTATTCTTCTGGTCGCGCGCGATCGATCCGAACGGATCCAACAGATTTTCATAGTTGCAACGGACCAAAACGCTAACAATCGGTATCCCGAACGGCCAACGCTACAAAACCACTTTATCAGCAGGACTATTGAATGCGCGTTTAAACGACGTGAACGCACGCGTGCGAGCGAGTGTGTAGCAATGCGACATTAACGAATTGCAATCAATGCTCGAGAAGGCGTTCGTTCTCGTGCAATCGTACAAAGGCGGACCGAAACATCCGTATCACGCGGTCGTCGATCGCAATACGCGCAGCAAGATTATTATGAAAAACGATTAAACACAGCACTTACATGGTCATTTTTTTTTTTTTTTTCGCACCACCGCGACCGCACCGGGATCGCGTGAAAACCACGACGACGACGACGACGACGCGATAAAAACTCTTTCGGAAACAAACACCGTCACAGTCACGTGAGCCGAAGAAGAGATTAAGATTATAATGCGAAATATTATAATATGTTATGGTGGTACATAACGCGGGCGCGCGTGTGCGTGTAATGAAAAACACGTTTTTCTTTTGCTTTTTTTTTATTTTTTTTTTATTTTTTCTGTTCGAAACCGTTTGTTTACGTGTACTATACAATACTAATTTATGGAATAATAATATAACAATTACGATTGTTGCGTTAACGCGGCGAGTAAATAATAATAACAATAACAATTATGGAACGGTGCGACGAGATGACGCGCGAAAACACGACTGGTATACAATACGACGAACGCCGAAACGACGACGCGGCACACGACTGGCGGGTCCGTTACGGGTTACCTAGCTACACGATTAGACGGACACGCACACACGAACACGGCACGTACACACGAACACGAAGCGCACCACCACCACGTTCGGATACGGTCGTCGGCAACGTACACGCGCGGCGCGCAAGTGTCGAACAGATGGAAGGAATGCGACGTGGAGTGCGTCCAGGGGAGAAGGGGGTCATGACGAAAAGAGTAACCGACGAGACGGATAATAACGTTATTATTACTATTACGTGTATATATTATTAGTGTTGTTTAATTTTTTTTTATACCCGACCGATATTATCATATTTTGTACATACGCGCGCTGCCATCTGTCCTAAAAGACTGCCGACGCGGAGGTGTTGCGTACCGGTTCGCCGTGAGTGTTAGTGGTAAATATAAGTTACCTGTTGCTGCCCCGTCGTCGCGCACCGTCGCGGCGTTTTGGTTATGCAACCGCGTCGACAACACTCGGATTACGCGGCCCCGTCCTCCTGAATTTACATAATAACTGCATAAATCAGGGACGGCACCCACGGGCTTCTTTTAGTAACTAGAAGACCACGTTTTAGACATTTAAAATCTAGCGGGCAGGAAACAAAAAAAAAAAAAAAAAAAAAAAACACGGTTTAGCTGTGTACACACACAATGTAAAACGACACGATGGATACGACTACATTGCGGTGTAATGAAATCAGTTTTAGCTGCGGATATGTCATACTAGGATACTCGGTAATCAGATTATATGAAACGCGTATAATCTGTGGTATAAGTGAGTTCGATGGCAAATAAAAATTAATATCAATATTCAACAAAAGACACTACAACCAAGTGGCGCTATCCCGAACAACGTTTACAAATTGTTATCGTTTTTATATTCCCCATCCTAATAATGAATTGAACATTTATTTCATTGGTAGACGATCGAGTACTATACTAGTTAGTAGTAACGCTATACTCGTATCAATACCGACATCATTGCTAAGAAGGCTATCTAGTTATTATATGGTATATACGTGTCCACCGCACTACTAGTGCACTCTTCTCATACAGATTGTGTAGAATCGATGTTCCGTGGAACGCATTGGCGAGGTGACTGATCGACGATGACGATCGATTTCTCCAAAAACTGACTCATTCGGACCTATAGATTACTCGCACGCAAATGGCGGTAGACCTCGGGATGCACGGTCAAGGTGTAAACGAAGTTGCACACGGTAATTCAATACTGGCATTCGAGTACGTGTAAGGTTGAAACGCCGAAGAGACACTCCACAAGTTTTATTTGTCCTCTTGCTTCCGTTTTTGCTCCGAGACGGAACAAAATATGTTGTTGTTATGGTACGCGAATACATTTAAAGACGTTCGGTTTCGTCAGTCGTTCCGAAATACATTTTGCAATCATTTTATTATAATAGTATTATTTTCAACCGCTCACTCAGATTTTTTAGTGTTGTTGAGATTACACAAAAACTTATTATATTATTCAGATTGTAAATATTATGTTTACTTGAGTTAACTTCAGTAACGCTAATTATGTACACTCGATTGAGAGTAATATCACGGATTAGTCAATTTTCTTTATCAACAAACACTCGCGTGATACTCATGTTTGTAAAAAAAAAAAAAAATACAACGCGTGTAGAAATAAGTTCGAGGATATTTTTCAGTTGTCATGTTTAACAACAATAAGTAACAAAAAACTTTTTGTTGTTTGACAATAACAGTTCTTACTATGTTGAACTCGACACGTTTAATAAACGTACACTTGATTTCATATGATAATTTACATAAAACAATAATGTACACTTAAAAATCGATTTTATATTTTCAAATTGTGACAAAGGAATAGAATTAGGTAATTATTTTATAGAAAATATCCCATTTAAAAAAATAAGTCAACTAAATGCAATTATTCGTACCTAGATATTAAATTCAAAACGGTGAAAATAATAACAATTTAAATATTCACATTCATTTATAAGAGATTATACAACACTTCATTCGTACTTAACAATAAAATAATAAATACCTATCTAGGTCTTTATCAAAATTATTAAATATATTCATTAAGTAATGTAGCTACATTACATAACAAATTATTTTGTAACTGACAAACATTTTTCAATTTAAATACGAGTATGTTAGTATTATTACAAAACATAAGTAGTTACATTGTAATAATCTATAAAATTATAAAAAAGTGAAGTTTTCATTATTTTTTTTTTTTTTTACTAATAAAGATTTAAACATTCATTAATCATATGATTATAATATTATAATTTGAGATAGAAAATAATCCATATAAGTTTAGAATTAAACTATCAAGATTAATATAAGTTTAAATTGAAATACAATTGAAATGTTTCTGATAACGAAATCATAATCCATCATAAGCACTTACATGTAGGTTATCTATCGTATACCATACAAATATTAGATTTGAAAAAAGATCATGACAAAATTACTGTTTGTAACGTCATACCATAATTATACGAACAATAGACAACATTAACAAAAATCAAAACAATAGCTTATTTACGCTTGTAATAAGTTCTTATATTCTTCTAATTGAATATTCAATATAATTCCCTAAAAAAAAAATTGTGATAGAAAATCACATTAGGCAATTTTGATATATATTCAAATTAATAAAAATCTGTTACTGTCAACTAAACTTAAATTTCAAAATGTTACCAAAATTATTCAATAATATTTATAATATACTAAACTAATTTACACATTTGGTTAGTACTTATTATGCTGTATTAATTATTAAAATGTTGTTAATTGATTTAAAATATAAATAATGTGCCGAAAATATATCTTATATAATGACTAGGTAACTAATTTTTTCTTTCGACTTTTATAATTACATATGATAACTATAAAATCTAAATTTAAAACTCTCTGGTCCAAAGTCTATAATGGGTAAGACAAGGCAAAAAATCGGAAATGAGCAGTGCCTAAAGCTTAGTTGGTTACGCTAGTAAAAAACATAATGAAAATATAATTTTAATTGCAACGTAATTGAGAAAAAAAAACGGTTTAATGATTTTATAATATACATCGAACAGTTAGTATTTACGGTAAATAATTTTAGAACTAAGAAAGGTCATTTTTTAACTTTTTAATTTACATTCATAATATTGATAAACATTTACCAATAACTACTTATATCGACTTCACTACTTAAAACTACTACCTACAAAATTTACCAAAATATATCACAAATACAGTTTTTTGGCCTAGTAAGGGTCACTTGGATAAATTTAACATATATGTATATTTATTTGGAAATTGCTATTTATGAGTAATTTCTAAAAAAATAATTTTATTGAATATTAAATTTTCGAGTAAATAAAACATTTACTAAGGTGAATACTCCAGTTTATAAAGATTTACATTTGATATAAAAAATTAAAAATTTTTTTTTTACCAAAACCACTAAACTCATTTAATATATATTAAAAATAAAAAAATTAAATATGACATAACCACGTCTTAAAACTACGAATTTTTACATAAGATAGACATCAAATAATTCAGGTTAAGGCATTTTATAGTACCTTAAATATATGAGAATACTCATTAAATTTTTTAGCATTTATTTTTTAAATTAAATAATGTAGGTAGATTCGATAAAAATGGTTCATTAAAATGCATATTGTATATATATTGTAATTTTATGCAAACTAAACGTTTAATACACATACCTTATTTGACATATAATATTCAGTGATGTTAATAAAAAAAATGTTAGAATAATAATTAAATAAACGCATGAAATCTAAAAACTAAACATATTTTATTGTTAAATACATATTTTTATTCTTGCTTTAATTTTAAAATAGACTGAAAGATTTTATTTTATATATAATATACATACCAGCTATAATAAAAACATTTAAATAAAAAAATGAATAAAAAAATGATCAATTCTAATTATATTTAGCTTACGAAATTATTTTCAACTTCAACTGTACGTCACTTATACTTGACTTAATATCATAAAATAATACCTCTATTTAATTACTTTTTAAAATTCTTTTTAATACAAATTTCAGTAATTTAGAATAGATGTAGTAAAGGTTAAATATCTAATTACAAAATTTTTAATAAAAAACATACAAAGGAAAACTAATATTGAAGTAGAATTTATATTAAATCCATACAATATAATAAATAAAAACAAACCATTTTTATGATACAACAATGGAATGAATACATTGCAAGTTTGGAAATTATTAATAACTAAAATCCCCCCACTATCAACAATAATGATTTCTAATAGATAAGTAAATTTTAAAAAAATATGAGAATTTCAAATCTAGAATAAAAAATCTAAATTTTTAATAACTTAAATTAAGATTTGATTTTTATATTCAATACAAATATTGATCATTAATAAATAAAATATACTTGGGTAATAGGTATTTCATAAGGTATTTATAAATATATAAAATAAACATTAGAAGTCTAAACGTTTATAAAAAAGAAACTCGGTTCGTATACTCAAAATATAAATTTAATTATATAAATTATAAATATTTAATTACATAAATTATTCAATTTAATTATATAGTTTTTTTTTTTTAAAGAAATAAAGATAAAAAAAATCATTGATTAGGTATGTGGCTCTCAATTACGAATTATAGGCTATCAGCGGAACACTCAGAGGTATTAATATAATAATGTAATCTTACCATCAGTGTTTACGAACTTAATATCAAAAGCTAAAGAGCTCTCATAAACTAATCAATAGGTACCTATAACCTATAGGTAACCTATATAATTTCATTATCATAACTTCAATAAGAAATTCTTAAAACACCGCTAATATTTTTTAAGAGTCCTAACTATACGACTAATATAAAAATAAGGTAATTGATTAAAAGTTAGTAAAAGAAAAAAAGAAAAATTACTTGAAATAAATTATATAACCACTATAATATGATATATATATATATATATATATATATATATATATATATATATATGATATTATTACTATATTTA